ATTTCGGGGACGAAATTCTTTAAGGGGAGGAGGTTATAGCGATCCCGGTTGCCCCTTTACTGTTCTGTTGTATTCTGGACCCGGTTCCGTGAAGTTGGTAGTTGTATCTATCTTGTTGTCGTCCTTTAATTCCAATTGATTGAGTTTTAGGATGTTTTGGGCGGGGTTGTTACAGGTTGGTTAGGCCTTGGTTTCAATTCCTTGTTGCCCAGTTTTTGGACGGTCCGCTCGAGCGGGTCTTCTTGCGCTCGAGCGGGTATTGCACACCTCCAGTATTTCGTGTTCCTGCAAAACTTCTGCAGATGCGATTTTTACGCTCGAGTGGGTTTGTTTACGCTCGAGCGGTAGCGCTCGAGCGGGTTTGTTGGCGCTCGAGCGGGTAGTACTTCCTGGGTATAAGTTCTGGGAGGGGGAAATCTACGCTCGAGCGGACTGGTTTTCGTGCTCGAGTGGAAGTGCTTTATTCTTGTGTCTTGACGCTCGAGCGGGCCTTATTGCGCTCGAGCGTGTCCAGATTTTTGTTCTTGGAGCTCGAGCGTTGTGTTCTCCGCTCGAGCGGGTCATGCGTATATGAGTTATCCGCTGGGTGATTTTAAATCACTTTTTGCTTTTCTTTCTCTCTCCTACTTTTCCTAAAACCCATTTTTGAGAGCCCCTCTCTCTAGAAACTTCCTTCTCTCTAGGGTTTGATCTAGTTAGAGTGCCCTCCTTCTCTTCGGCCTTTGTAAAAGAGTTGTTGATTGTCGAGGGCTATCTTTTGATCCGAGAAATTCGTGGTTTAGAGCATTTTCGTTTTCTTCACCTTCTTGGTTGGGAGTCATCTTTCGAGGTAGGGATAACCTACTCCTCACTATGGGCTTTGTCTTTAAATTTTAGTATTTTGAGATGTTGGGGTTGGTTTGGTAATTTTGTGAAAGTTTGGGGCTTTTGTATATGTCACGACCCCAAGCCGCCCCTAGTAGTTTGGTGCCGTGATGGCCAGTAATCCGAGATTACCGAAGGCCAACTTTCAAAAGTTAAACACAATCAGAGTATAATATTTGGGGCTCACAAATGCGGAAGAAATAAATCAAATACAAGTGGTCCATAAGAACTGTGCATAGATCAAATGTAGTGACATACATAACACAGTTTTGCATTCGGTTGGTGATAATCGAAATACATATCAAAATCTTGATCAAAATGCTTCTAAAGCCGACATGTGCAAATACAATGATTACAAGCCAAAGAAGCATAATCTTCAAGATTCGCCGACGTAATTACAAATTTTCCCGACAAAGAACAAGTCAAGCCGACATGACAAGAATCCAAAACAAGCTTTGCAAAACACATCTAGGCGTCGCCGCCGTCCTGCTCATCACCTACATATATATAGAGAGAGGGTGAGCTTGGATACTCAGTGAATGGTACTAGTAATAAAGGTTTTGCATGAATATAGCCGAAGTCTTTCAAAACAAAACATGTCAAGACCATACGAATATTAGCCGAGATCCTTTCCGAGCAAATCACATCAAAACGTTATCAAAACAAGGGATGAACCGTATTCATCTATCAAATCTTACAAGTCTTAAGGAATGCTTACTGGCATCGGCGAAACACAAATCAAGCTTTCCGAACAAGCAAATCCGCGCGGTAAACCGTCAGCGGCAAAACAAGGATTGTACGATCCGTAATCAATTAGTCAAGGGTACTGCGAAAGTTTAAAGTCCTCCAACACAAGGGACTTGTGTTACTTATGCCCGTAGCTCTTTTTAACACGATGGCTTGGTGTTACTTAGGCCCGTAGCCCGCTTTAGCACAATAGTCTTTCCAAGAAAGGACCGTATCCTTTTATACTTAGTGCTGCGAAAGTTTATAGTCCTCCAGCACAAGGGACTTTCATACATGGTACTGCGAAAGTTTAGAGTCCTCCAGTACAAGGGACTTTTCAAGGATGACATCAAAACAAAGCTTATACTTGATACATCAAGACAGAGCTATTCATTCATGCTTAACAAACACTTTCGTCAAAACGAACAAGCAAGATTTATCAAAACAGTATAACATGGCTTTATTAAAAATACCACTCACGTAGTTCTTCTCGGGTGTAGGCTCAAAACAAAGATCAAGGACCTACAATCACATGGCAAATCACATTCTCAAAACAAGCTTTACATGCATGCAAATGATCCCGGCATTCTCACCAGATCCAAGTCAATAACAAAGCAAAACAGGCTGGGAGTTTAAACACTGCTCCCGTCTCATGAAAACACGCTGGGTACCAACCAGGTCTTTGCCGAGATCCCACACCTCCTTGCCGAGGTGTGGTTCCGATGGCCTCATTCAAAAGCAAATTCGGGAAAACCTGGGTTTCCCTTTGAAGAACATGAAGAACATGATGAACATGATCATGAAGAAGATTGAATGCAAAGATCATAACTTGTTACAAAAATCTGAGGTTTCATGCCAGGAGTTCAAAACATGGACCTGGGTACCCATACAAGAAGATCATGCAAGAACAAACACAAAAACATGATTTTTGTTCCAAACTTTCGGATCGAAATGAGGCTTTTCTTCAAGAACACATGAATACTATTTTTCTCTTCCGAAACCAACTTCAAATCGATGCATGACATGCAAAACAGATTTGATCATGCAATGCAGCTAGATGATCAACAATAACAACCAGAGTAGATGAGGATTCTTACCTCAAAGCTTGAATCTAACAGTTCAAAATCCAAAGATCAACTCGGAACTCTACTCTCTCACTCTAAAACTCCTTCTCCCTCTTCTAGAGTTTCTCTCTCTTCAAGAACAAGCCTTACAACAAAATGATACAAAAGAGTAATATGTTCACAGACCTACCGGCTGACTTAACCTAGCTCGGACACGTGGCGCTTCCGGGTTGGTTCAACTAAAAAGGTGACTGATTGATAAGACGAGTCTATGACAAAGCGTATGCAGCAAGCTAAGGCAAGACACATCGGCAAGTAATGATGTCGGCTAAGGTCAAAGCTTTGGCAATAGGGTAACAAAGGCATCGGCTAGGGAGGACGACACTTGACTAAGTTGTGCCACACCTTGGCCTGGGTGTGCCACACCTCGGTCTAGGCCATACCTACCCAAGGACAAGGATCACTAAGTGTAAAACATCTCGGCAACAAGCCCGAGGTGAATGTGGGATCAACCAAATGGTTCCCAAACAGTTCTAAGTACAAAGGTTCAGAGGTGAACTAGGCTCAAGATTACCTCGGTTACACACCAAGCAAGGAACCAAAAAAAAAAAAAATCATGCAAGCAACACTTTAAACAAAGCAAGACAAAACAAGACAAACAAGATTTGCAATATCACGAGACAAGATCTTACAGGAATGTATGCAAGCATGGCTAAGTCAAAAATGAGGGTTGTTACAGTGTAAATTTACCAAAGTTGGGGTTTTAGCTATATAAAACCTAGATGCATGTTTGGCATGGAAAAGTGGAATTAATGTTAAAACATTAATGAAAATGGAACCTAAGGGTTGTAATGTTAATTATGGAATATGCCCTAATTACATTGATTAATTAATTTGCATAATTAATGATGAGGAAATGAGAAATTGATTTGGAAATGTATGGAATTAAAGGGTATAGTTGGATTATTTATCACTCACCTGGTTGAAATGTTGATTATATATATCCATTGTTGCATTTATTTTCTGTATAGAAATAACTGCTTTGGGCTATCGGTGGAGGATAGTCTTGATTGTTGTAGACAATGCATGATGATTAGGCAAACTGAAACTAATCACTGGAATGTGTCATTGAGTATGACGGTTGAAAGAATACATTAAATTTATGTGTTGTGTGATGATGTGTATAATTATTGTTTATATGCATTGTGTTGTGTTGGAGGAGATAGGGGATGTACTCCACGGTTTAGGGGAAGATAGGGGATGGACCTCTAAACCGGATGTTGTTGGGAGAAGATAGGGGATGGACTCCATAGATAGAGCTCATATGCTTATCTAGTAATGTGTTGACATAGCTCATATGCTTGTCTTTGGAAGTGTGATAGTGCTCTTATGCATATCTATGGAAGTGATGATATAGCTAGTACACTTATCTATTATGAAATGAGAAAGTGTTTAATATGAGTTACTGTCTCATATGAGTTGTTTGGCCAGGTTCTGAGCCATGGTTATAAATTGAGAATTGAAAGGAATTGGAAAATGGATTGTAATATGGACTTGTATGTCATGAAACTGTAAAGTGTGATAAGGGAAAGTATCAGTGTTGACCATCTATCAACTGCTAATCTTTTAATCATTGTTCATATTTGGTTTAGTGGATTTCTACTGGGCTGTGGCTCACCCTATATGGGAATATCATTTTCAGGTACAGGTAGCATGCCACCTCCAATGACGTAGCTTGGGAGGTTAGAGGCGGGCAGACTTTTGTTGTTTAATTTCTTTTATGTATTACATGTATATTCAAGCCAAGGGCTTAATGTGTAAATGAGTTAACACTCTTTTGTTGTAACCAAGTGTTAACTTGGAAAGCTGTAAGCCTTTAGGGCATTTGTTTTTGTCGTTAACATGTAATACTTTTTGATAATGAAACTCTGATGAATAGAGGAATGTGGAGCTTTTATATATCAATGCATGACTATATTGATGGGTTTAATGTTATTATTTTGAAGGCGTTACATGACAACAGAAACCCAGTAGTACCTTCCTAATATTAAAACATGGACCCTTTATTTTTTCCCTCTAATTTAATTTAAATGGCCAGACAACATTAACCACCTTTGCTTCTAGAGGATAGGGATACTGTCCCCAGTCCCACCCAAAAAACACAAAAAAAAATAAAAAACACAAAAAAAAATAAAAAAACAGAACCACCCATTGTTCTTCAAGGGCATATGAAGTGAAGGATTATTTTTATACCGGTGATTATTAATTGATCAAAACCTTTTGCTTGCAAACGCATGTTGGGCTACATAGTGCCCACCCCACTTCTAAGAAAATTATCACCCCAACTCACGAAATCAAATTTTATTAGAAATTAAAGAATGAAGTAGTTCCAGGTCCAATCTTCAATTGCCCTCCCTCACCTGGATGGATGATATAATGGGATCAACTATAGATCAAATATCGGGATGACTGGACATACTCTTTAACAATTGATGGGACCGGGAGGAAGAACAAAAGACTTGCCAGATGGTCTTTAGTAACAGTTTCATAGCGGAGAGGATTACTTAGCTAAAAAGCTAGCTAAAGATATAGGTATATTTCTCTCTATTAGTCCTCTAGAATCTAGATACAAAAGAAATAAAATAAATAATTAGCATAAACAGATAAAAGAGGAACCAACAACCCCTCTGTGTTTCATTAAATGCCATCCAAACAGAAACAGTTGCAGATGGCTTCAAAAATGAAGGTGGCAAATTTCTCATCAGCGGCACTAATAACAGTACTTGTCGCATTGATTTTAATCAAGGCCTTCTTAGGCTCGAGAACACATACAGTAAAGTCTGATTGAGTAGTAGCATCATGCTTGCCTTGTTCAACAGATGCATTAATTCCCATATTGTGCAATCCTGTCACAAGACTTTGCACATCAAGTGAACCCCAGTGCTGCATCTGTGAAAAGCCGACCACTTGCTCATTTCCATTTCCATTCCCAGGGAGTAACAGATGTTTACTGTGCTCTACAAAAAGTTCCCCCTTTAGTCTTGCTATATTGATGTTTTCCTGTTTCAACTTTGTCCACTTGAGCTGGGAAGCCAAGTCTATTGCAATGTCCAACTCTGAATTCAGCTTCAAGCTTGGTATACGCAGTGTTTCATTTTCAGAGTATTGTATGAATGAGATTGGACTTGTACTTGAAAAACTGAAATGGCGCCTCAATTTTTCAGGGAACTAGCTTGAGCATAACACAAAAATTAGAATTTTATATAATAAAAAAAAAGTCACACATACCAAAGGTGTGATTATAAAGAAAAGCTAGATTCATTAAACTAAAATTGGCACATTACCAAAACAATTTTTGGCTGCAACATCTTCAGCAAAGGTTGAACTTTCTGCGACCTATAAAACAATAGATGGAAAAGCATAAACCTAAAGAAGGGTTGTTCCACAAATGTAGCAAAGAGGTTCGATTCTGTAAGCCATAAAATAAGTCATAAAACATGAAAAAGAAACAGTTCATGTTCAGATGGAATCTCACTTGGTAAAGGTTCAACATGCGAGCATCTTGTTCTTAAGTCTCAAACTTAAGGTACAGACCATCTAATTTGAGGACTCCCTCCCACGTAAAAACCAAAAAAGTATACACAAAATATTGGAGAAACATCAACTTGGCACATAAATCTTTGTAAATAATCATCTTACCATCCATAATCATTCAATAACCGCATAACCTTGGTTGTATTTAGTGATACCATATTCTGAACTACCTGAAAGCTATGTCAACTAAGGGAGATATACAGGCCCTTATGTTAGTGTACTTGACTTGGTTGGCATGTTTCATAGACAAAATTCCCTTGAGTTGTAATTTGTAATGTGCACACGTGTACTGTGTTTAGAGGATGCAATGCACGCATGATTGAAAATTTTGTAACGAGGTTGGAAAACTAGCAAAAGTATTTAATATGTTTGGAGGGTTTGGGAAAGCTTGTAGTATCTTGTTATCGTATAAAAGAAGGGGTCAAAATGTATGGGTTCATAGAGGAGGGGGGTTAAGTTGATATTCGCTAATATTTGAGATGTTCTTGGTGTAATAAACCCTTTACTTTTTGTTTCATATAACATGATTGGTGAGTCTATCCCGCTTTAAGAAAAAGAGAGACATGTAAATCTCTCACATTGTGTTTAATATTTGTTTTTGTACATCTTGGAGAAGTGTTCTCTTCATGAGTCGAATCGTAATGGTGTTGTGAAGTAGATTTTTGTCACGGAAATGCCAAAGTTGATGATTGCTTGTATATTTGGTTGGCATGGGCAATTTGTATCATGTTAAGCAGATGCAAGGTGTGTATGATGTTTGAGAAGCGTGCGATGAGATTACAGAACCTGTAAAGATGTGTAATATGTTTGGATGGTTTATGAAAGCTTGTATTGTCTTGCAATATGTTTGGAGTGAGTATATTGTGCTTTGGAGTAGTTTTAATTGGCTTTGGAAGTCAAAACAGGTTGAATTGCAGCATTGAAAGCAAAAAAACAGTTTGCCCAAGTGAGTTGCAGTTGCCCAGCCAAGTTTTATGTGAGTACCACACACTCAAAGTATATCTTGAAACCTTGCTTGAGGAACCAACTGCATCTAAAAATTCCCACCAAAATTCAAAATAGACAAAAGAAATTAGGTGCTCATTATGCTCGAATGAAAGGATATATTTTGCCGCAATGTTGGAAAATCTCACTTGGTCAGAGGTGTGCTCAAGTGGCCTTGTGAGAAAAGAACGATTTTGCACCAAATGGAATCGCTCGAGACTCTGCTCAAGCAGCCTTGCGCCAGTCATTATTTCATGGCAAGAATTGAAGGCTTTTGGTGTTAATATTTTTACCAATAATGACACATATTTGAAGATTACTTTTTAAGGAAATTGTCCATAAATAAGAGTGTGGACAAAGCATTCAAGCATCAAAGAGCTATTATTGATAATCTCTGCTCTATCCTTAGAAGCTCTCCTTGTACCGTTTCACTTTATTTCTGACTGAACTTTGAGTGAGTCCAGAAATAATCAGTTTAAAAAATCCTAGAGTAACTCAACTCCAAATCCATCCAATTCACATCACTTTGCCTGTTTGTAACAGAGTAGAGGTCCATTGATTGCAACAAACTATTGCAGCAGAGACAAACCCTTTCACCCTTGAGTCTTGTGGTTGGTTGTAATTTGTACATCAGAGCCTCCATCAGAGTGGAGATCAAGAGAAGTTTGAGGATTTGAGGTAACAAGTCGAGAGCACCCCCTAGGTATAAGGTTGCAAGTCACCTAACTTTTACTTTGTAGTTACTTCTTAAACTGTGAATTGTTTACCGACTTGTGCCCATATGTCTTGCTGTATCACTTGGCACTTGATTTTCTTGTTCACTTATGCATACAGATTTTTTATTAGACAGCATTCTCGTTTGGTGTATCATTCTTGTTTTTTTAATTCACATTCAACATATGCTGATATATATAGATACAACATTTGTATATATTTTATGGGTAGCAGACACTGAGAGAACATATGAAAAACAAAACCTTACTTCATTCCAGAAAGAAATGAACACTGCAGGATCTTCATTGCCATTGGTTTGAAAGGTAAGAGAGCCAAATCAGCATCCACTCCTTTCTGAAGATTGTAAACAAACCATGTTATTTAGTACAGGCAGTCCCAATTCAATAACACAAGTTTAATCTTTAGATACTAAAGACCAGGATATGATGCTGCTAGATAGTACTATTAGAAAGAATTGTACTTGACAGACAAGAAAAACAACAAATAGACTAAAATAGTACCTCCATGACAAGTAAAGAATTTTGATCCCGACACCAACGCTGAAGCAAATGAACAACAGATCCAAGGCGCAGGCTCCAGTGAGAACAAAATACTATGCATGGTTCCTGCCAGATTCTTCTGCATGCAGACTTAAGTTTTACTTTTTATACGGAAAAAGAACAAAGCATAGATAAAATAACCACAGGTATAACTTGAATCACCACAATTAACGTCAATGTGTTCTTTTTTAGTAAATTATCAGCAGAAATGTTTACAAAATACAATTCTCCTTTGATACAAGATTGGACATCCATGCAAGTAAAAGATACTCTTAAATCTGAAAGGGAAGGAAACATCTTACAGTAATTTATCCGAATCAACTGCAGGAAACAAATGAAGCTTTTTCTCTTTTATAAGGTCTACATGTGCAAACAATGGCTCACCAGAGTACAGCTGCAAGACCAATCAAAAAAGTATAATAGCTTTTTAAGTTTCTACCACTATAAAATTATACTTTTTTTCCAAAAATAGGTACCTTTTCTTGCCGCTGCTTGCATAACCATTCAGGAATAATATTTGAGAAAGCTAGTAATTCTTCTGCTACAGAAGAGATAATAAACAAAGGGACCTACAGCATGATCAATTAAATTAATTAGGGCTAATGACTTGCAGATTAGCAGAAAGTAATACTCAGAATAAATTAAATATTTTTTCTTGCAGATTAGAAGAAAGCAATGCTCAAAATGAATTAATTTTTTTCACCCTTTCAGTAGGGCGGGTGTAAAAGATAAAATAGTGCGTTTTTGGTACACTGAAGCATCAAGAAAGGGATGCCTTAACTGGTACTGCTCAGTAACTGAGGCATCAAACTATATTCCTATACTAGACTAATGCCATTAAGGTCAGGTTTGTTTGATTGGGCTGGATTAGATGGAATTAGTATCCGTTATTAGTCCTGGGATTATCAATACTTTTGAATTAGGTACCCTATCCAATGTTTGGATTCACCCAAGATTCTGAGCAGTCTAAAATGAACAGGACATGAGATAATGAAATGACCATAGTGTCCTTTTTTTCTACTTTATTGAAAAACAGTTTCTATGTTATCTTAAAGCATATTTCTTGGGGGCAAAAAAAAAAGGGGGGAAATGAAAGAAAGAAGTGAAACAGTTTCCATATATATAAACAAAATACAGTTTCTGTTTTTCTATTTTTTATAAACAAAAAAACAAAACAAGCAGTATGGTGTAGAAAAAAGACATACAAACATTTTCCGTGTTATTTTAAAGAATAAATATGTTAAAAAAATAAATAAATAAATAAAACAAAATAAAATAAAATAAAAAACACCTTTGGTTTCCATAACAGATTTTTGTTTTAACAATATAAAATAAACCAAGCTTTCATGGGAAGCTTTACATACTAATGAAGGGGTTACTTTTTTAATTTAGTCACTTAGTCTGGACTTTCCTCAATCTCTTGATTTGTATCCCATCCCTTCTTAGGGATTTAATAGTCCCTCATATGAGAGATGCGATTTCCAGATAGATTAGCAGTCCGAATTCTAATGTTTTTTAGCCAAACATCAGATTACGTATTTTGTTGGATTAGTAGTCCAATCTGAAGGCCATGTCCCTCCAAACAAAAATGCTCTAATAGATTAGCCCCATTCAAGTTTGTATGTTCTCTTCTTTAGTTTCAAGGAGTGATTCTTTGTAAAGGTGAACATCTAAAATAGCTATCTGGAGTAATGGTAGCAGAGTTTGTAATAGCTACAAAATCAGACATTTAAAAAAAAAAAAAAAAGAGAGAGAGAATGACAATATTTACCTTCAGATTTAAAGATTCTAAGTCACTTGAAATATTCTCCAAAAGCTGCAGTACAATTCCAAGTCGTCCAATGGGAAAAAGGACTGAACCACCAGCCTTAACAGAATCTATGGCACAGGAGGATATAAAAGCTAATTTCTCCGTCTCCTCCAAATTCTCATCAGTGTTGGAGGATATAAAAGCTAATTTCTCCGTCTCCTCCAAATTCTCATCAGTGTTAAGCAATGACTCGGTATTGACATCCTGGGTATCACTATCATCACTGCCACAAGTAAATTGCAAAGCTGAAAAGCTTAAAGAAACAAGTGAAAATAAATTTACAAGAAACCTTAAAATCATACAGTTAACTTTTCAGCTACAGCAAGCTTAGATTCCTAAAGTATACATAGAATCCCACTTGATAATATCGTCAAAAGTGCAGAAAGTGATGATACCTAGTAGCTGAGAAATTGTTTGCCGCTGGCGCAAAATAATTATCATTGTCAGTATCTTCCATGACATCAAGGAGCGAGAAATCAGAATATAAAACCAGATCATATCCTTGAAGAGCATGGTAATCGAAATTCATTGCATAAGAAGACACAAAGATGGAACTGGAAAGACACGCAATGTTTCTTTTTGGACCATTTATTGTCCAATTACATGTGCCTATTTCTAGGCCAGAGCTGAATGCTTTTAAGATCAATGTGCCACTGTAGCAAGTTTCTTCAGCATATTTAAGAACCTGAACCTTCTGTATGCAATCCTTCACATCAGCTGCACTGAAAGGCACCCTTCATTACATCCCACATATACACATATATTCACCATGCAGATTAAAATTAATGAATGAAAATAAGAAATATTGATGCAAGTAGTTAGTTGAGTTAGTGTTGCAGTTGAGGTAGCTTTGTCTATAAATAGGTCGTCAGTTTCTCTCTAACTAACTTTTGATATTTTGAAGATTGTATTTTTAGAGCAAAGCTCACATATTCCTAACTGGGAATATCTCTCTCTCGAATTTCAGTCTTTGATCTTTGATTCCATCATTTGGTACCAGAGGTTAGAGTTAGATCATTTGCTTCCTAAGTGATTGCCCAATTGTGATTTGAAAGTGATTTCTCCTTGATTCAAGTAGCAAATTAATTGCGAAAATCAAAGATTGCTTCGTGAGGATCATTTAACCCCAGGTCAAGCCTGGATTACATCAATGTTAATTTGTTGTGATTTTCGAAAGTGATTTTGATTGAGCTTTGAAGATCGTTATTAGATTTGAAGTCTTGCTAGTAGTCATGTGAACTTCAATAGTTGAAAGACTTTACGAAGTCCTTCATAATCAAATTGTGACTGTGACAGTCATAGTTGAGCTAACTTGAAGTTGAAGCTTCTTGTGGAATTGATCGAGTTTCGTGCGACTTCGGAATCCTAATTAATGAAGTTGTGTGCGAAATTCCTCAACTGCTACTTATGGACATAGATTGGTGGAGAGGAAGCATTGTATTTGTGACACATAGGTTAATAATATTATTATTAAGAACTAATTATTTGAGAGCAAGAGTGCAATTGCAATTATTTAGTGGAGTTCATTGCAATAATTGGTAGTCTTTATCCTTATGAGATAAAGAGAAGAAAAAAAAAAAAAGTCAATTGGAGCTAGAGCTTAGAAAGGCCTAAGGATTCCAAGCAAAGCCTACTTGGGAAAGCCTAGCTTTTATCCCAATTAGCCATAAAGGAATTCTACACACTCACAGTTTTCTTCTATTACTATATTGTGAGAGTAGAGAGAGAAAGAAGGATATCACTATCCTCCCTTGGCTTAATTCAGAAAGGACATTGGATTGAAGTTTCCAAGGCACAGAAGGATATTCAAGCTGCTTCTAGTTCACATTCTAGTGTCCTTGAAGATCAAATTCAGATTTCAAATTAAGACGTGCAAGCTTTCGAGTTCTAATTCAAAGTAGACTCTATCTCGCAATTTGGCTTCCAACTGGAGACACAAAGTTATAATACAATCTATTCTTCAACTAGAACATTACAAACACAAGGATATGATCTAGATTTCTAGAAAATAATTCACTTCTGCATTGTTTTCAAACCAACAGGGATAAAGATTGTTCCCATGCAAATGTGAAAAAAGACGTGAGCCTAGAAAAACAGATTGAGACATCAACACACTGAGCAAATGATATGACAAAAAAATTTCCCTCAACATTAAAGCTGACAGCATTCAGGCCAGAAAATAACCTCAACTCTATATAAGCACGTGTACAAAGCTATGAACAAACAAATGAAAAAAAATAAAAGTATTATTACCTATACAAGGGCATCCAACCACCAAGTTCCGATCCATCTTCTCCCAAAACCCTGTCTTTCAATGCTGATGAAAGCACTTCAAGTTCTTCCCATTTCATCCACTGAGGAAAACTAGATTCCTCAGGTCCATAAAACTGCCTGAACTCCATATGCATCATTACAAGATCCTCCATCATAAACTGCCCAAGTCTTGCTGCTGCTTCAGTGGCATAAATCTGGCCCAATTAAACAACCAAACCAAGAAAGCAAAATAATTCCCATTAAACAGTAAGGTGAAATTAAAACCAAATATAGCCAATTCCAAATAGAAGGAAAATATTAGAGCCTCTTTCACCTTAGCAGAAAAACCCTTCATGCGAGTTAGAAAAGGTAATCCAAGCATACCCATAGGACTTGAGATCAACACAACATTAATAGAAGTAATGTCCCATAGGTTTAAGTTTTTAACAGTTTTGTAACAAGGCTCCGAGTGTACGAAATTTTTTGTATCATCTAGGGGTTTTTCCAATTTCTGCCTCTTTGAACCCCTAGATTCAGAATCCAAAGATATATGAGCTGGACAATCAGAATCTTCATCAAGAATAGCCTTAGAATCAGTAAGAATAGGAGAGAAGATTGTTAGAGCTGAAAGGTCCAGAGGGCAATCAAGTAAGACCAGGAACCCACACACATTGAGTATGTGGCACGGTGGGAAATAAAAACCTCGACCTTTGCTCAGACATGTCTGCAAAAAAACTCGATCAATCCCAAACAATATTAATTGCCAGCCACATACCCAGAAACACACAAAAGCATGTGCAGACACACAGCAATGCACCCACGCAGAGTCATGCAATCATGCACAGGGAAATACAGACATGTAGCTATGCAAATAAGCAGATGTGCACACAGGGAAATACAGACACTTATAATTTTATTGCATGACATATGCATGTTTTGTTCCATGTTTAAGTGGTTTGAATTGTATTAATACCTTTGATATTTGAAAAACTTTGAAAAATATTTTGGTAGGAAATGAATTGAAGTTTAAGGGTATAAATTTAGAAAGTTTCCTTTTTGAACCTCGTATGCTCATGTGTGCTCTTAATCCTTAACAAGGGTGCTTAATTGTATTGGTCTAATGTACTAGACATTTTCATATATTATATGAAAACTTAATTGAGATTAGTGGTAATTAAGTGTGATCAATGTAATTAATCAAGATCAATTCACCTTAAACATGATTAATTAGGTTAAGTGTGATTAATGGCCTAAGCTTGATTAATTAGTACTAACATAGCTTGATCAGTGCTAATCTAGGTTAATTAAGTTAGTGGTGCAATTAGTAGAGACAAGTACACACACCTCAATTGGTAATACCTCCACCGTATATTAAATATCTATATAACTGAACATGGTCTAATTTGAATTTTGATGGGACATTTGTCGTTAATGGTTGTGAGATCACTTCAGTAGTTTGAGATCCAATTGACTAAAGCAAGCCTAATACACTTGTGATATAGACAAATGTCCCAACAACACGTCTAATTTGAATTTCAGACCCTGTTTTGACCATATCTCCTAAAACCAAACAGGGTCTAATTTGAATTTTGATGGGACATTGTCTTTGAAATATATTTGTAACCAATGGTTAAGATCACTTCAATTTGAGATTCAATGGACTAAAACAAGCCCAATACACTTATGAGAGAGGCAAATGTCGCATCAAAATTCCAATTAGGAAATGTTTTGACCGTATCTCCTAAAATATGTGGAATTTTGATGGTTGTCTTTGAGATATATTTGTAACCAATGGCTAAGATCATTTCAATTTGAGGTCCAATGGACTAAAGCAAGCCCAATACACTTATGAGAGACAAATGTCCCATCAAAACAGGGTCTAACAAAACAAAGGTCTAATTTGAATTTTGATTGTACATTTCTCTCTCTCATAAGTGTATTGGGCTTGCTTTAGCCCATTGGTTACAAATATATCACAAAGACAAATGTCCCATCAAAATTTAAATTAGACCCTATTTTGACCATACCTCCTAAAATATGTGGAATTTTGATGTGAAATTACTACCACTAGCAACTACACTTATGTGGCTACAATTTAGACTCAAATTTTGCCCAAATCCAAATTTGTATGAAAAAGTTATATCCATTTGAAAATGACTTCTCTTTGCTGGAAATTAGTGCACATGCACTAATTTTGGGTCAACTTTGATTGAAAATTTGTATTAATTGGGAAAGAAATAATTCTTTTGGCCTATATCATTGAAAACATATACAAGTCTAATTTCTAACATATCAAACAGAGCTTGATTTCGAGTTTTCTAGTGAAATATGGTTGTTTTACCAAAAGGCGTCAACGTTGTCTACACAATTCAAATTGCTCTAAAATGGTTTCAATCTTATTTTTCTTCATTTAATTCAACCCCAAATCATACACAAGTTAACCCTAAAATGTTTTGAGATATTAGTGAGGGCCTAAGGTGGTGTTTGATAATCTAATTCAGCACTTAAAACTAAATTTATTAAGTGATAATCAATTAAGTCCGTTTGATAACCACAATTGATATCACTTACAAATTTAAGTCTCTTAAAATGCAAGCTAAAAGTGCAAAAAAATTTAAGTGATATGAAACTTAATTCTGACTAAATTTATAAATACTAAACATAAGTATCGACATACCGCTGTCGCCGCCGCCACCACTACTACTATCACCCTTAGTTGCAAGAATCGTGCTAACAGGTGACGAATCTTCGTAAGAAACGCGATTCCGCGTTTCTTAGAAAGAAACGTGTAGGAATCGCGTTTCTATAGAGAGAGAAACGCGATCCTGTCCAAGATGGGATCGTTGGTGAAGAAGAACAAAAACCCTAGCTTGGTCAACAAAGAGAGAGAGGAGAAAGAAGGTGAAGAAGAACCTGAAGGTTGTTTGGGTATGTCCCTTGCTTCGTTTTTCTTCTTCTTTCATCACTTCGAAGGTCGTCTCTCTCACTCTCTCTGTTTTTCGTCTTCGTCTCTATCGCAGTTCGTCTCTCTCTCTGTTTTTCCTTTCTGTCGCAGTTCCTCTCTCTCTACAGATCGTCTTTCTCTCTCTCTCTCTCGCAGATCATCTCCTTGCGTCTCCTCTGCCTTCGTCTTCGCCTTCTCTCACTCGCGTTCTCTCTTTCTGTCCGGCGTTCTTCACGATATATACCTAATATATAAGTAAAATATATATATATATATATATAAAAGATAAAACATATAAAATCTTTAAATAAATATATATATTTAAAAAATAAAAAAACATTAACACATTATTATTTAATATATATCATATATATACATATAAATATATAATAAAAAAACATTAATAAAAAAAATAAAAATATTAATATATATAATCTTTATAATATATTTACATAAAAAAAAATATAAACACCTGCAAATATAACATATATATATATGAGTATATATTATACATATTAATAAAAAAAACACATATATGTAAAATAAAATAAAAATAAATTACCAATAACACATTATTTAAAAAATATAATAAATAAATAAAATAATTAATGTGTATTAAAATAAAAATATTTATAATGTGTATTAATATATATATATATATATATTACCGCTTCCCGAAGCGCTCCCAACCTAAGAAACTTCTGTCGGCTCCCGCTTCCGCTTCGTGCAACTAAGCTATCACCACCATTGCTGCCGGCACCACCATGCCACCTCCACCTCCACAACCTTTGCCACTATTGTCACTATCATTCCACCATCTTATCTCCACACAATATAATATATCCTTCCAACATCACCACAATCATTATCTCTTAATCTCCACCACTACCAACTCACCATCATTCCACCACTATACAATTTGAAAATAAAAATTTTCAAATTTGATCTTGTACATATCAAACAATTTGTTTTAGTTCAAAACTTGATTTTTTATTAAACAGCTTTTCAACTTAAAAAAATCAGTATTCAATTTTTAATACTTAGTTTTTAGTTTTCAGTTTTATCAAACACCACTTAAGTAACACATTTGAATCTTAATATACCTTAAACAAGTTAAAATGAAATTCAATTGCTCTAATTCTATTGAAATAGATTATATACCAACATGCATTGCATTATCTAATGTAGGTTGATTATATTTGGGATTAACACTTACTTAGAAAGACTTAAGGTGAGTAATATTTCTTCAAAGTTAATTGAACTTATATTTGAATGCTTAAAACTTAGTTTGATCCAAATTATATTGAAATGTCTCAAACTAATGGATATCCAATGAATATTTTGAAATAAATATACACATAGCATCCTCGGTTAGTCCCAGCTATTGGGGGACAGAAAATATACTAGTAGCAGTTGTTTGAGATCTCCAATGCCACCCATGGGTGGGTTTGTTTAACTGGAGTCGACCCGGTTATTCCATTTGTTAGTACCGATTGGATGTTCATTATCATTGTTTTGAAATGGAATGAATAAGACTATTTCGTTTTCAAACTGTTTACGCTCTCAATTCAACTATGTTTTTACCGTACACATGCTAATATCCATTATTTTACACCACTGATTAAATGTTATTCACTGCGCTTTGGCTCACCCCTTCTCCCTATATGTATGTAGGTGACAAAAGTGAGTGAAGGCTATGCCAGCTTTGTCTATGTGTATCTGACATGATGGACCTACATGTCTTGTCTTCTCTTTGAGAGAACTGTTTTCTAATGACTCTTTGTGTATAGTTTGGTAAATAAGATGTCCAGTAGCATTGTTTTAAATTGTACTTCGTTGTGACTAATTGAAGGTTGTAATAATAAATAAAGCAATAGTTTGTGTTCATTTCATATATCTATGCACTGGCTCTGAATGGATGTTATGAGATTAAACAGGTACAAGAATTTTAAAGACTTCCGCTATTTAGAATGATTTTACCACGATTCTCTTCATGAGTACTATAGAATTATACAATTAGGCCTTTGGTGGCCTATGGCTACTAACCAATCACTACCCTATCTTAGTTTGGGATGGATGGGGTTGTGACAACACAACATACAAACACGAGAGAGAGAGAGAGAGAGAGAGAGACTTACAAGCTTCATGCAGATGAACAAGAAAAAAATTCCTCAATGCAGAAAATGAAGATTTTTACAATGGCATGTTAACCTACAAGAACCAGGTTCAAAGTATGTTACATATATCAATGCCATATATCTCACTTTAATGAACTAGTTAAGATAACAAGAAATGATAATAATTGCCAGTTTAAGTGAATATCCCAACTAACAAATCCTAGCCTTCAACATGGCAGTCCACAACAAGCAACAATAATGATGTTCTTGGATCTTGGATTAGTGAAGGGATTAAGATGAACAAAATTTAGCTTCTACTTTCAACTTTTCCTTGCCATTTCTTTTCCCTTTGCAAATCCATGATCCAAACATAGTATACAGTTTATCTAACTACTGTAACAATAATTTCAGTACAAAATAATTAAGTAAACGAAATATAATATCAAATAGCCAAAGAAAATAATGCATAATTTTATATTGATGCTTTAACGTAGTTAGCTATTAAAAGAATATTTCTTGAAATTTCCTATGAATATCGATTCCCTAAATATACAGCCACTATGTTCCACAGATTCTTGCACATTGTTGGCACTTTCCGTGAAATAACTTGGTTGTAGATTTTATCTCTCTGTTGGTTATGTTTCATGTACAATGATATTGATGAAAATCATGGAAAGAAGAAAATGGCTAAATTTGGAATTTCATATGAAGCATGTTTAGGGCATCAAGGATTGAAGTTTTGGTATAATTTCGAGTCTTTATGTGTATTTATCAATTTTGATTCTTTATGTCATTATAGTAGGTTTTAGTAGTTAAGGGTATTATGGTAATTTCAATGATGTTGGACATGCATGGGTTCAATTTTGGGTTAAGTTATTAAATGGGTCATTATATATGGGTTTTATTAAGTCTAGAACAATCTTAGTGGTCAAAAGGCAGTATCCTATTTTGAAGTTGGAGTAGAATTAGAAGTCATCAAAGTGTTTTTTATTATGATGGAAGTGAATTGGAAGTCATAGCCTTAGTTGGTCTAGATTATTAGTAGTTGCCAAGTATTTTTAGTTTCTAAATTTGAGTTCTAGTCCTTACAGAAGTAGGAGAGTCTTTGCCTATAAATATATGTATAATCACAATGATTCAATAGAAGAGTTGATATTATGAAAATTTGAGATTGTGTTAATGTGGTTGGCCTAACCCTTCCGAGGGTGAAGCACCTTTTTTCTACTACTTCTTCTCTTTCTTCTTCTTTGCACACATACCCAAGATATTATTCTCAGGTTACTATTCACAACCCACTAAAAGGACACTCTTCAACCCCAAAACCCATCCATATCACCTCCAAATCGACCCTAATCCATTTCCCTAACTCTTAGCCTGCCCTCAATTCAACCATTCAAACCCCAAATTACTCACTATTAGGACATGTGTCTTTGATACCATTGGGTTCCATTATCATATGTTTATGGCCATGTAATTTAATTTACAGTTTGTAGGGTGTTTATCATGGTTCTATTTATTTTTTATCTTGATGCTTTATAAGTGAAGGAAAGCAAAATTAGAGGAAAAAGGGAGTCGCCCTAGCAACCTCACCCGCAGACTTGCCCTAGTGAGTTGTTTGTATTCATGTCGTGCCAACAAAGAAGCAAAAAACACGTGACACAATACGGACACGTGACACGATATGGACACACAACTTTCCAAAAAATGCAACAAATGCAGGACATGACATGTTGGGGACACGTGCAAAACAGATAACTTTATATATTTATTATGTCATATTTTTTAATATTATATATTTATTTTACGTCAAATATTTAATCTCAATCAAATTAATCAACCTTGGGTATGTTGTTTCAATAAAAACAAATTTAAAAATGGGATACAACGTATCCCTAAGAGTGTCACACTGTGTCCTCAACGTGTCCTCCGCGAGTCTCCAGTGTGTACCAAGTGTCTCAATGTGTCTGTCTCTATCCAGCATGTCCAACACGTTTCCGAAGTGTGTCCATTCCGACACATGTCCAACAACATTATGTGACCTCCGGAGACGTGTCTATGCTTCATAGCATGCCAAATTGAAATGAACTAATAAGTTGGAGAAATATGTGAATTGAAGACAAATGGCAGTTGAAATGAAGACCTCAACACTCATTCTCTGGCTCGCCCTAGTGACCATCAGAGCAAAACAAAAAGTCAGTTCACCCTTGAGACCTAATCACAAGATTCATTGTTTCAGCCTATTTTTAATCGTGGAAGATTTGTTCAAACCACCTAAAGATCCTTCTCTAGAGATTTTTTGGTGTCTTTGTTTATTGCACAAGGATGATAGAAGATCTTGGTTTGGACTTTGAAAACATATATATATATATATAGAGAGAGAGAGAGAGAGAGAGAGAGTTGACTATATTTTCTTTGAGTCTTTCTTGTATAACGTTGTTCCATGTCTCTCTCAAGTGTTGTGCAAGTCCACAGATTATCTGTTAGTGAGCTTAGAGAGTTTTTTTTAGCCCTAATCACATCTCAAAATAATCTTAACGAGTCATTTTGTAACTAGACACGATATTGAGCCTTCATTTCTATGGAGACACATTTTATGAATGATAGCACGTGGCAAAGGTGACATCGAAGTGTCAGCCGAGATGCCACGTGGCCTGATCACACGCCAAGATGATCTCGACTAGGCCAAGGTTGCCTGCGGAGATACCAGAATCCGAGTTAAGCAGATAAAGGTCAAGAGTCCGGGAACAAGGGAGGATCTCATTCGGGATAGAGATAAGGCTCAAGAAGAGTTTATCTCTATCTAGATGAGGGTCTAGGATGAGCATGGAGCCTGAGTCCACTGAAGTAAGGCTTCTAAGGGAATTAGGTCACTGCTGGTTATAAAAGCAGGGCACCCTCGTGGGTCAAAGGTAAGTTCTTTCTTGTGAGTTTGAGCACAATTTGCTATCTTTGAGAGATATTGATTACTGACTTGATTGTCGAAGTGCCCCGGGGGTGGACGAACCACCGCCAAATTCTCATCTTCTTGTTACAGGTTATTAGACTTAATCTATTATGCCGGTGCTCTCCAGCTAAGTTTCCTTTTTGGTTGTGTGGTCAAAAATCAACACCCACAATTTCCTTAGAAACGGAATCTCCTATAGCTTTTTTTAACATTCGCTGAGTGTGTCTCAAAACCACTGTTATGCGGAGATTGGTGTAATAAACCATGGTTTGAGCAATCCTCACTCAATAAAAAGCATAGACACTTCTACGAAGGTGGTTGTTGGACACTTCCTGACATGTGTCCGACACACGTGTCCACTGATTAGACAGACACACATGAAATTAATTAAAAGTTTGAACTAAATAATTTAGGATACAATAATAAAATAAAAAACAATGTAAATTTATAAAATAAGTGTTATATTATATTTTTTTATTATCTTCAAATGAAATATTCATATATAAAATTATATATTTTGTGTGTGTCCCCACATGCGTGTCCTGCATTTTTTTGAAAATGGGCATGTCTGTGTGGTATTTGTGTTGTGTCTGTCTGTGCTTCTTAGCTCACACAAATAAGAGGCCAATTGGAAATCAGAGCCACCAGTGGAGTGCTGATCTAGCTAGAGCTAGAGATTGTGAGGTAACAAGTTGTACATACTACCTTGATAAGTGGTTGCAAGTCACCTTATTGGACATTGTAATTGTTTCTTGTTTAGGGAATTGTTCATCAGCTTGTGCCAAATGGTTCTTTCTTTCTTCTTTTTTTATCAGCAATATAAAAATTAATTAAAATAAGAGAAAAGAGAGTAGATCAAGTACGACAAGAAATCCATAAAAAAAGATAAGGAAAAATAACACTTACAAGTTACAAGTGACAAGGGAATCAAAAACAAAGATACCACTTTAAAAGGAATTGAAACCGAAACCCCCAAAAAAATGACAACTAATAAATCTTATACATAGGTCTTCAATATCGTCAAACTTGTCATTACAAAAAATTATCGCAATTCTTTCTGTCCAAATAACCCAAAAAAAAACAAAAGCACAAACTACACTATCCCAAAGGGCTCGGGTCCTCTTAGTGGAACCAAAACCTCGATAATCAATAGTAAGCATATGGAAATAAGACGCCAAAATTATCTGATCAACCTTTGCCAATTGAAAAAGGCAATACAATAATGCCAAAGCCACGGGGCAACATAAAATAAATAATCAATACACTCCAAAACTCTTACACATTATGCACTTGCGGCAACAAGCAGCAATTAGATCTCTGCTTTCTAAATCAACTTATGACAAGAAGGAAAAACATAACCAGCCCCATAAAAAATGAATAATAAAGAAGTTAAATAATTGGTCTCACAGTCATTATGATTTGATGAGAAAAATGAAAAAAATCAAAAAACATATTTCTTTCATGTGATTTTCTCTTTTCATGGCAAAAATAATTTTTAAATTTTTTAAAATATATTGTGTTTATTTTTGTTAAATTAGTTTCTATTTTTTTTAAAAAAAAAAAAATCAGAAAATAAGTTCTGAAAGCTCAACCAAATAGAATCTATGGAATCAAGAAAGTCAATACAAATGAGGAAATAAATCATCAAACAAATCCTCCCCTAACCACACATCCTCCCAAAATTGAATCATCTCCCCCATCCTCGACCTTAAACCGAATATACAAAGAAAAAGAAAGAATACCATGAGAAATGGATGGCAACAGAAATCAAGAGTTCCGCCTAGTAATCACATGAGAATCACACACACTAGCTTGAACCCTATATTTACTTTTCAAAATGGTATGCCAGAAAGACTCGGCTCAATGAGAAATCTCCGCAACCACTTACCCAAAAAAGCGTTATTCTTTAAAACAATGTTCTCCAAGGCAAGACCCCCTGGCATTTAGGGAGAGACACCACTTCCTAACTAATCGAATGGACTTTCTTACCAGTATTTTTAAAGGCTCAAGGCACCAAAGGTAATAATTTAGACATAGAATTCAAAACTTATAACCACTAAAACAGAGAATTTAAAAATAAAAAATAAAAGAAGTAAAGCAAATTGTAGAAGACTTCCCAAAGTCATAAAAATACATATCATTCCAAATAC